GGTGTTAATGCGGTGTCACATTTTCGGTTTCATGACTTTCGAGCGCCGCGTGCTAGGATCAATGGGCGTCTGGTGGTGGGTGTCCGTGCGCGATTTCGCATGGTTGAGGTATTGTTTTATTGGTCTATGACGCGGACTTGATCGTGTTCCGCTTTTGTTGAAGCATTGCGAGACGTTAGCTTAACGATTTAAAGTATGTGCACGTATTTGGCGCCATACCAGAGATCGTGGTTTCTTGTTGGGTACCGCAAATTGGGAGAGTGGGAGAATAGTTGGTTCAGTGGTGGAAGAAAGGGGGTTTTGATATGTGTGAAGAGGTTGTTGCTATTGGTTTTTGTGGTCCTCATTCCTTGGAATACTCGTCCGGTCGATGGTAAATTACACTGCGTGTATTGGTTTTCGAGTTGCACATTTATCTTGCTCGATAGGATGGAAGTTTTTAACATTATATACACAATATCCATATTTCATTCGTGGAACGAAGCAAGTGTCCGCTAGCCACCGTACTTGATAGAATTGCAAGCCGCCCTCTGTAGAAGTGCGCGTACTTTGATGAGTTTGTAGAGGGTGGGGCGTACTTGCTACTTGCTTCGGTTGTAAGAAGTGGCATGTGAAGAGAGGGGAGGCGTGGGAGAAAATTTGCCGTTTCAGCGCGCGTATATACCCCCCCGTCGACGGCATTTTTGGAGGAAAAAGTGGGCGGGGTTTTGATGGAAGATGGAGATGGTGGAGGAGGTGGGAAAAGGGGGTCGTATCAAATCCACCTTGGGGGAGGGGGGTCGTAAAAAATTTTCGAAAAGTAGCAACGATAGGACCGACCCTGCACCGAGACCCCCTAAAGAAACAGGTAAGAAAAGGGCGAACTCGACAGCTGACCCTGCGTGCGAGGCTGAGATGCCTAGCGGACAATGACGTCGTTGCCATTGGTGAAAAGCAGAGGAGGTGTGGCCCGGCTTTCCAACGCTCCTCCACCATGGGAGTAGGACGTTTGATCAAGATTTCACACCTCCGTCTACTTCGCACCTTGCCTCGCACATATGCAGAGTTGCCTGTGGGATGACCTCACTTAATTGCATGCGCTGCCTGATGACCTTTCTCTGTCATTGTAAATCACATCAAAATAATTGAAAAAAAACTATATTTGATGAAGATGACAAAAACGGGAATTTATCATAACAGGCGTGAATCCATGGGTGCTTTCAATAAATTCACGTAAAACTTAAACCACTGTGCGTTTGCGGACCCTAAGCTATTCCCTTTTCACATGCATCATATGAAAAATGAAGTAAGATGAAGGAAAACAGCTCCGATGGAAGAAAGTGAGCTGAATGAAGGAAAGTTTTGTTATTTTTGATTTTCTCTTACTGTTGAATGCTTCAATTCTAGATGACTTTCGAGAGTCTGCTAGAAAGCGCGTTCCTCGCTCAGTGTTAATCTACTATTACTTCAACCCTGACAATTTTCCCCCTTTTTGAAGCTTTAATACAACATAACAGGCTGTTTTGCACGAGTTTCTTGTTTACCCGCAAATTTGGTTGGAAAAGTGCGGGAGCAAGTTGGGATGTCAACTGAGCATTTGGCACCGAATCCACAAAATACACGGCGTGCAGTTGTGATTCAAAACATCATTCTCGCGATGATGAAGGCTTCGAAGAAGTCTGACAAACAATATCTGAGGGTACTCATCAACCAAATCCGCATGGAACTGTTCAACAGGCCTCTTCTAAATCAGTCGTGGCTGAGATGGGCTTCCTAAATGTCCAGGTGAGGGTGAAACGTTCAGAGAAGTAGCGAGTGGGTGCAGCCGACTCCTCTCCCACAATTCTGCAGCCCCATCTCGCACTTCCAACCGTGCACAAGTTTACCTAACTGAGCAACATCTTGCAAGGTAGCCCTCTTGCCTACCAACTATAACTTTTCCAGCCATTAGGATAGTTTTTTCGAAGACAAACATTGAAACCCAAAATGATGAACAAATGACCTTCGCCGACTTCTTCGCCTACAGAAGTCCGTTACTTTCAACATCATAATTTGATGAATACTCCTCTTGTAATTGAATGTTTAGGGATTGTAATAGTAATATCATTTAGATCGAAAATGTTTTGTTTGAATCAAGATATGCGCTTTTGAATTTGACGGTCAAATCGGCGGAAACTTTCCGAATATCCCAATACATCGGTCAATGGTGACTATTAGGAACCTATTTCAGCAATTAGTTATTTGTGGTTGGAATACTCTTTGCATAGATAGGTTGCTGTGTCACAAGTGTACATATCGTTGACCACCTCCAGGGAAGCTAATTCATTGAATAACACCTCAAATCACCTCATATTATGACTTCAATGACTCTTTATAGTTCTTCCGTTAATAAATTTGGTTTGCTGTAATGTGATTTACAATGACAGAGAAAGGTCATCAGGCAGCGCATGCAATTAAGTCAGGTCATCCCACAGGCAACTCTGCATATGTGCGAGGCAAGGTGCGAAGTAGACGGAGGTGTGAAATCTTGATCAAACGTCACATACCCCTCCACCATTGAAGGCTTAATAATGTCGCCAAAACACCTCGCCCCTGAAATATTGCACCCACTACCTCGAAACACGCACACAGAAAGGTAGTGAGATGGTGTGGGGTGGGGTTCAGGCCGGAAACATTTGATGCTCTCTCCCTGTGTTTGAAGGAGACTGACGAAACGAGAAGAATGGGAAACGCAGGCATGGGCGTTATTTCCAAAGTATGTCAAGATGTCGGCGTACATCGTCATCGCTTTTGAACTGTCTTTTGCTACAGTGAAATAGCTCGCGACATTTCAACCTAGGGGTTATTCTGCTTTAAAGGAAGCAGTCACGATAATTTTCATGGCAACGATAAGGAAAGCTATGTATTGGAGTGGATAGAGGTCCTGCCCAATGTTAGAACACGTGAAGTTTCAGTGGCAGTGGCGCCTTATCAACGGAGTGATAAGGCGCCGAAATCCACTTCCGTTCAGCAAAAACCAAGACTTATCGATGTGGAAAGGGGTGCGATAAGAGCGTGCTAGATATGATACCGTTATCGTTATCGTCCCGTTTTCATTCTGGAGTGCACCTCTTATCAAGCAGCCGCACCTTCTTATCTCATCGTATCATATCTTCCATGGGCTTACACTCGTCCAACAATTACTGCCTCACACCTTATCGATTGATAACGCGAGGGTAGCAAATCCAGCGTGGAAGCCAGCGTGACTGCTTCCTTTAAAGAAATATTCGATGGTATGCCATCTGACAGATAAATTTTACGCTCGTAAACATAAACGTGTCGACATCCACGCATTACATGAGCAGTTTCGATCCGAGCTATAAACAAACAAGGAATTCGATACGTTTAACGATCAGCTCGAAGTCAACCATTCTGCGACCCTTTGCGTTCACTCATCATCAGTGACGGTAGTAAAGTACCCTCAACTCGCAATCAGAGGTGGTGATCAAAGGTCATAAGCATGGATTGATAATGAGACAACCACGAGCTTCCTTACATTGTTTGCGAAATTCCCGCCCTGCCTGGTTATAATTCCTACATGATCCCAACCAGACTCCGTACCAATACCTCTGCGCCATGTAGCACTAGTATCTATCAGTGGAAGACTCGCTGATATGGGAATGAAACGGGTACTCGCAGCGATCTCTCAATCTTGCCCGCGTCAATGTGTACTAGCATGTTTGCAGATATAGGTTTTCTAAGGGTTTTACTCTGCTTGTATCGTTCGCACGCCCGATATGTTTTCTGACATGTAAGGTACTTATCGGCCTCAAAAGTCAAAGTCGTCCCTTCAACCCCGTGTTCTTTTTTTTTCTCCGCTCAATTCTTATTAGCTTTACAAGTTATTTCTTTGACTCCTAATTGAATGGATCTGACATCTGATCTGAAGTAAAGTACCCTCAACTCGCAATCAGAGGTGCTGATCAAAGGTCATTAGCATGGAATGCTCCTATTGGGTTTACAGATCATCGCTTTAACTTCTAATTAAATAATTTTTTTTTGATGTTGTTTCTAGCTATGGGCATAACAATAGCTGATGTAATGGGAAAGCGCTTTAGACCCGTTAGCTAACCATGATTTTTGTCTGATGCTAATCTTCACACGGCAGACTCTGAAGGCAGGGTCGGTCCTATCGTTGCTACTTTTCGAAAATTTTTACGACCCCCCTCCCCCAAGGTGGATTTGATACGACCCCCTTTTCCCTACCTCCACCATCTCCATCTTCCATCAAAACCCCGCCCACTTTTTCCTCCAAAAATGCCGTCGAGCGGGGGGGGGGGGAGGGGGGGGGGGGGCGGTGTGGGAAAACGGCAAGAATTTTTCTCTGGCGCGCGGCGCCGCTCCCCAAACCCAACGACATGCCAACTTCTTACAACCGAAGCCAGAGTACGACCCTACCTCGTTACAAATACTTATGCAAGATACGGACCCTTCCGCCTTGGCTACTGGGAAGCAAGGTATAGGGCGGTTGACCTGCTCGTGAATAAAGGATCACTATTCGGTCCCAGGTTTTTCTCCACTTGTTGAATAATCGATAATGTGGGGAGTTATTGCCACAAGCTAGCAGGACACTGCACTCTAGACAGGGTGTGACCAGATAGGAGTAGAGCTTGCTGCGGCGGGAGTCCCAAGTGTCGTTCCAGTTTGAGTGACACTGAATGTAAGGACAACAGTCCAGGGCCCTCACAAGTGGTGGGTAGTTTGGACTTCTATTTTCTGTGGAAAACTGCGAAATTTCGGTAGATAATCAAATATTAACCTTTTATAATCAGTCGAATGTCAATACATTGACAGATCTGAGCAGCAAGCTACTCTACAAATGTGTGTAGGTGAACCAATAGACGTAGTGAGATCTTAGATTCATCTAACAAGCAATCAGAAAACACTGACTTGATTTCTCATGCATAGCACGTTTTCGGCACAAAGAAGTCGATTTAGGCACTTTGTTCTGAACGACGACGCCGCTCGTTCTTTATGCGTTTCTATACTCTTGAGCTGTAGTCCGACCGTTGGGACGAGAGGGGAAAAACCGTTCCACGTTTGACGTGGTGGTGACAATCTGAAAATACGTGCTGTAGTCGAAAAGAAGAATGACCACGAAATATATCTGAAAGTAAGGATTTACAACAATTAAAGGCAGCAATAGCGATAAGTTAGTAGGGATGAAATTGAAAGACATGTGAGCGCAGAACGTACGTCGCGATAAAAATACTAAGAAAATGGCCAATAACACTGGGCGAGTCGTTCCCTGGTCCGGCCGTTGATTTCGAGGCGAGTGGAGCAAGGTTGATCGAGACAGTGCGTGGCAGTGGGCGTGTCTGTGGGTGAGGAGGGTTGCTTATCACGGCATTAAAAGCACGCTTTCTAAGCGAAAGCGCCACTTATCGTCTATTTGGACATTCTTCTACTCTCTCTATTGCCCAACTTTTCCTTTTACGACCTCCAGCGGACCTATAGCGATTTTCTTCATTCACTAACTGCGGAAGGCAGTGGTGGTATAACGGCAAGGAAGCGTCATTTTCTCACGCACGATTCCGGTGACAGCTCCGGATAAAATTCTACCAAGGCCACCTGACACAGAACTGCATGAAGATCCACTCGCACCCAGAAGGTACATAGTGTAATGAATCATATGCCACTACACTACAATTCTGAAAGAATATAATGCATGGCGCACTCCAAGAAAGGGTCGATTATCGCCGGCTGAATATCCTTCAATCCCTAGAACCGATCAAGAACCATATATTCACCATTACCATCACATCACCACAAAAGAGAAGTCGATTTGCTGGGCATTTTTTATGCACTTTGCAGGCTTTCTATACTAATCGATGAAACATTGGTTATTATATAGCTCTAACGGCAGGTATTACCACGGATATTTCATCGCTTATCGATGGAAAATAGAAACAAGGCGAAGATATACGCACTCACCAGCAAAAAGCTAACTAAACTTATTAAACTGAATTATCCATCATGAACCTCTCTTGACCCCAAGCCGCTGAAGCTCCACCAAAGGGACTCGAACCTTACTGATGTTCTAGAATCTAAGTCTAATCAATGACGATCCTACCGGTCCCTTCCAAATTACAAAATCTGTAAAACCTCTGGACCACCGAACTTCGCCCAAGGATGAAATTGATGGTTGGAGTTAACTAATCGTAAAGGGCACCTTTGAAGCCATCCGTTTCGGAAATACCACGCTTGTACTGGGAATCACAAGGGCTTAGGCCTAAAAGTTAGAAGGGCTTATGCGCAAAGCCAGCTTATACAGTGAATATGGTTAGTTCATCCCAGCTGCATCAGCTCAGATGCTCGCTTACTTACCTGCGTTTTCGCGAGTTTATCGTTTTTGGGCAAATCGTTCAGTGGCAGCGTAACGGAGTGTTCTGCGAAATTGACCGCTCCCACGTAAACCTGGAATGGAAATCGGGATTAAGCAACATTAGAAGTATTGAGAATGAATAGCTTCATGACTAGTTCGACGGGAGACACACACCTGAACAGACCATGCTAAATCCTCGATTTATTCGCTATAGCTCCCCACCGAAATTCAGAAAGAACCAGCGACGAGAAGATACTGACCAATACCTTTTCCCCTTCGCTCGTGACGGATACGACTCCTCTTCCCTCTATCGTACGATCGGATCGCGTCATCGTGTCGTGAATACTTGTACTACACTCCCCCTCTTTGTGCGCATAACACTCCAAAACGGTAATGAGGATGGAGGGGAGGCGAGTAATATATGATCGTTGCCCGCGAGACAGCAAATTTTACTTTTTACGCCGCCATAATACGACTCTTATTCTCGCATGAAGGTAAATATGATTGTCTGTCGAGGAACCTTATCAGCAGCTCGCACCCTGCCCTAAACCCTCCTCCCTGCGACTGAGTGCGTCCATTTCTTTTCAAAATCAACTGCAAAGTCATTCGAGATACTTACATTTCCATCGGTGACATTTTCACGTTGGTGGAATCGAACGATGGTGTAAGCTCCGCCCTCAATGAGACGTCCCATTATGGTCTCGCCGAGACTTAGAGACTCGTCCCTCGTGCGCAGCTTGCTGAGCTTGGAGAACATCTTGAGCGCAGACTGATCTTGTTTGTATTGTTTCTGAAATGGCGAAAGTCATGATCATAGCTCAAAGATTGGAAAGATAAGAAGATTTTGAAGTTATAAAAAAATCACGAAGAACTGAAAGCAGGAGGCAAGAGGATGGGAATCAGAGCAAACCCCGCACTTTACGAGTTATCCGGTTTCCAAACAACTAGCGCGACTCACGCTCAGCGCTTCTCTAGTGAAAAAAGCTATCCTGCCAATTGCCACGATCCTGTTTGGGTGATCATATATTAGAATGAGCGGTATACGGCCGTTGCACTTCCATATTTGACCAATATGAGTGATGTCGCGAATATTAAAACGCGAATAAATGAACCACCTTTGCAATGGCGTTTTCTTTAATCTCATTTCCGCTGTGATTCAAAAAGAGCTTTTTTCTGCGCAATTTCAAGAGTGGTAATAGTGACGGGAAGTTGCTTTAGTGGTTGCTTTCGACAGGCCATCTTTGTGAGATGACAAATTCAGCCTTCT